AGTTAAGTATACACCAGGCGGCGCTGGCATCGGCAACTTGACCGTGGGAACTTGACGAGCCTTTCTTTTACACTTTTACTACCAGATCAAATCTATCTACTCTATAATAAGACCATTTTCTTTTTGTGCATTTTTCTTTGCTTACAACGTAAATATAAGCTAGTAGATACACTTAAAACCTTTGAAAAATACAATATTTTTTAGTAAATATCATTTGAAAATTGAAATAGAAAATTAACTTTTTGTCCGTTGACCTAACTATTAGAGGAAAATACACGTCGTGGTACACAAGTATAGACATTTTCTAAATGTCTGTAGGTATGTCGTAGCTGAACGGCACGCGCCAAAGAACTGTCCAATTATAATTAGCTCTATGTGACGCGTTAGCAGGTCAATGACATCGGCCGGCCGAATTCTCCGACTGATATAGTTTGAACTTTCAAATGCCATCTTAGCTTTACACATATTTATTGTACTGAAGATCATCAGGAACTGGGTGTTTCTGTTTGTTTGCATTTCTCTGTATTCAATAGTTTTAACACGTCCGATCCATTCCTTTCGGACTGAGGAACTGCAACTGTTGAACAACTGTTGAATTGATTAGATGCAGAAACTTCTTGTCTAAAAGCTCGAAGGTTTCCTTTTGAAACGAGGTTACGGCTGTTACTTCCCATAACGTACCCGCATTTAGTCAGACAAACTCCAAGGTTGCTAGGATACACTGGAAGAGATACACAATATCTAGAATGGTCAGCGTTAAATGCATGCATTATGTAAGTCTTGTCTGCAATATTATTGTACTACACGTACATGTAGTTTGAGACAGCGCAAAATTAATTACCAATTATTTATATTGCATGCGTCGCTAACGTTTGTGAAAACTATTTATGTTATTGGTATCACGATTATTTATATAGACCGCAAATCTATATTTGATTTGAAGGTGTAGAATCTACAGATTTATTTTGAACATTTAAATGTTTATACAGGGAGTTTCTGTTTACAACAAATTAAATTACTATAAATTGTATGAAAAATTGAATTTCCAAATTTCGAAAATTGGAATAAAAATAGCAATGAATTTAGGAAAAAAAAATGTTCTTGTGAGTGATTTTAATAAAATCTATCTCTGTTAAATGAAACATTAAACTTTCTACACAAGCACTAACAATAGAGTAAATTCTTCGTGAGCTCACGTTACTGCGACTCGACACCTCATTAACAAAATAATTAAACGGCCCGTAACTGACGTCCGCTCAACTGTATTCAATTACACTTGTACTATTTTCACTAAACATATTTTAGATTATACAAGATATACAATCCTTGTTTAGTTCCCAAAATCTAGTTGTAAGTTTGATCTCACATAAATCTGATTTTATTTATTTTCTAATATCCTAGGTTTTGAAAAACATCATTATCAGATTTTCGGATTTCGTTTTCTAGTTAGTAATGAACCGATTTCAAAAAGTACTCTTATGTTTTATCTGCCCAATTTCAATTGATAAAATCAGGTAGATTATTATTATAGTAGACTGACCTCCTGCTAGATAGAAAATCGCGTCTGCTTTATCTACAGTTAATTCTACCTTAAATGATATTTCGTTATTTGCCTCTTCTCCTTTGTTGCTCTTTAGAATTAAAACTTTTTGTCACGCTTCTTTCGCTTATTTTTTTTTATATTACTTTAGATATAATAAAGTTGTAGAGTATTGTGTTGTAAGTACTATTTCTCGACTAACTTTCTATTGACTGATTAGTTTCTATTCCGACGATTTCATTACATTTTGCGGTTTCATGCAAAAGCTATAGAACTAGATACTTTATATTTAAAAAGTAAACTAGAGGTAAAATAAGACAAAAGTATTGCAAGGCTAGAGTTTACTACACTTCTTTTTTTTTTCGTAAAATTTCACGAATTTTTAAATTTATTCTATTGTAGTAACAATGCTAATTGAAGCGTAAAGTTTTGTATGTTGCGTAATTATTTGTTTTGGTTTAGAATTGAAATTCCGACCTTGAAGTTATTGAGTGCAACGACTAGGTCACGATTGCGAAAAACAAAACTTATTCGCAGTCTTATTTACTTCGGTACTCAGAGCTACATTTCCAAGAATATTAGTAGATAGAATATAGTAGCGGTTCCAGTAATTAACGTCCGTCGGTTAAAGACGACATTCTCTCTCAGGAATCCTTGTGGGGTTACTTTTTGTTGTGTTGTACAAGGAAACTTCTTGAGGCATCTTTTAATGTAATTTACATCAAAGTTATCAAACTTGTTCAAAATTGGTAAAACCGCCTGTTGTGAACTGTGTGTGATTGGACTTAACTTATGGTATATAGGACTAAAATTATGATTGTGTACATGTGAAAGATTCCTTCGCCCATCTCCTTGTATTCTTCTTTTCTTAATTGCTCTATCCCATTCTTTCCTAACGATCTTCCAGAATTTACCTGACTTTTGTTGGCATTAAACCTTAAACATTATCTTAGCACGTGTACCACTGAAGCACTTTCTTCTTTATCTTTAAGCGCTTCAGCACGTCGCAGTCTGCGTCACAGATAACGGTGTTTTTGCTCACTACATTCGATCACTTCGTTCCACTTTCGTCGCCTTACAGACGTAACCATGGCTGTATCGTTGTTAGATCAATAAGTCGCCTGACCTGTCTACCCGATTTTGGTGTTTTTTTTTCTTTATGTCTGCTGCCAGTATCAATTGTACCGATTAGATTTTTTTTAATGCGTCTTTTATATTGAACACATAAGCTGACACCAATTCGAAAATTAAATGTACGTGTTGTTATGGTCGATGTTTATATGAGGAAAGGAACTGGCTCTTAGGTTAACACAGGAAGGAAAACTAGCTTAAAGATAACACTATAAAGAAAATAAACTAAAACGAACTGTAGTAGTCATGTTTTTGCGTAGGTTAAGAAGTTTTTACTTTGCAACTTTTTTCTGAATTTTTTGCTTGTCTGTCTGCTAAGCTATGATTAAGATCGAGACGATGTGTGTTTCGAATTAGTAAACATTTTCCAAACAAAACTGTTTACAATAACGGCCGCTGCGGCGAGGATTGTTTACTTTCGTAGATCTGTTGACCTGTTAATAGGAGTCGTGTCTACGCCACGTTGCTCGCCACGCCTCCCCTCGGTATAAACGGGTAGATAGAACCGGCAATATAACGCCTGATTGTATAAGGTCAGTGACCTTGTGTAGTAAAGTAAAGTTTTTTTAGGATCACGATGTAAATGTGACTTTAAGATTTGACGTAATTTGAAGTTAAGTTTTTTCGGTATACTTACATTAATCAAAGATTTTTTCTGATCGCTCTATGCACTTCACATTATGTACTTTTGATTATGTCAAATATTGTGTTCGTTAGTTGGCGCAATTTCTCTTAATAAGGACTACAAGGTTTTCACTCCACGTATCAATTATATAAGCTCATATTTTCCATTAGTATTCATATTTTTTGAACCCCACAGACTCTTAGCAATAAAAATGTTTGTATTTGTTCCCTACATACATCACAGGCACAGATGTGGAGTGTTTCACATGAATGAGTTGTCAAAGCGAACAAGGAAGGCAGCCAGGAATAGCGGCGCAAAACCTTTGAGTGCCTTTTACAGAATTGTGTGCTTGTTTGATTGCTAATGGTCTACATTTTACACTGTGTATTAGTGGTTCTTGTACATAGTGTATATAAATCTGGCTATCTTTACTGAATTTTTATTTACTAACAAAATATTATGGATTTTGTCGATAGATAATTTGATACATTTCGATTCTAAGCTCAATATGTTAGCTATAGATCAAGAAAGTTTGTTTTTCATTGGTCTTGTCATAGATTTGATTAACTATATCGTAAAGAACATCTTTACTTACCTTTATTATTTATTAAAGTAAATATCACATCTCCATATTCTTTAAGCTATTATACCTTCTTTAAAATATTTCCATTATACAAGTAAAGTTGTCTAATTGAATTTAATATCTTATATGTCTAGACGACGTCGTTTGAAATTACAGCGTAGGGATAAGGCGTACTCATTGTCCTTTTGCACAGAGCTTTCTAGTATGCAAATTAGAGCACGTCACAGCCACAGGGCGGCGGGGAGTCTTGTTAGCCCGAGCCCGCAACTACACTTTGTATGACGTAGCAAACTCTGCTTTTATAGAATTCAAGTTAGGTTTAGTATTTTGCTTTATACAAAGATAATAATTCGATTTAGCTACTAATACTGTGAATGTAAACTGTCTTTGCAACTGAAAATAGCTTTATTGCTATCTCGGTTTCTACGAAGAGAATGAAAAGGATGGTAATATTTTATTATTACGACACAAGTTAGACTTTTATGTAAACACGAAAAGATAATTTTTCAACGGTCTCGGCTCAATTTATATAAATATATAATTTCGCGGCTATGTGTTGCGTCGGCCTGGGATCAAAATGCCTTGACCTAATTTACGAATAGTAAATACTTTGATGCATTTTCATTTGACGTGCAACATAATATCAGATTGTAAGCTCACACAAAGATTTGTTTGTTGCCAGCCTTACATTTGAATATAACAGCGTTTATTTAACAATTACAATGTTACCATTCATTGACTCTTGAATAATTAAAATTTATTTAACGTTATTATGCACTTGAATTATTTATCTGTATGGAATGGACTAAATTGTAGACTGACGGCGATAGTGATAAATTGTCTTTAAATAAACGTCATGACCAGCTGTGGAAACAAAACTATTGGCGATCTCAGTTTTTAGAAGCCAAAAAAAATTTTGCTGTTTTAAAAATTAATTCTCTTATGCATTAATTATCTTTAAACAAAACATTTAATTTTGTCTTTGTATATTGAACAGACTTCGTATAATCCTTCCAATTCTAAGTTCTAACATATTAAACATATTGTGTAACCTATTCGGCGTACCCTAAGATCTATGTGATTAATTTCCACTGTGACAAATTTTCGTTGTATTATTTCAGGACGCATCCACTCGGCAATCGTGTCTGGTGTGAACGTGGAGACGCGCTCTGTGACGGTAGAATGGTTCGAGCGCGGGGAGACCAAGGGCAAGGAGGTGGAGATCGACACCATCCTCGCCCTCAACCCCGAGCTGATCGGCACTCGCCGTTCGCCGCACCTACAGCCCGTCTCCAATGCGCCCAACAAACTCGCCAGGGTGAGTACGCCTACCACAACATACAATAGCTGTAATGAGGATCTGAAAGAAAGAGACAGAATGAAATAAGAAAGATTGCTAACGTATGAAGTCACTAATAAATATGCAGATTGTTCTTAAAGGCATTTGCCATTGTTAGTAAAGTCTACACTATTTCTTAGGCTTTGAATAATTGTCAATTGCGTGGTAAAGATGCCTGAAAGAACTACACAGAAACGATAATTTTAGTTCGTTATTCACACAAATTATACATTTGACACAGTTACAGTACAACATAACTATGGATTGACATCCTACATTGGTTGCCTGAAGGATGTATGAGTGTGTTGAAATAGATTTAAGTCGAAATTTTTAAATAGGGTTCGAAAGTTAGATTGAATTATTTAGTATCATATTCACTGGCAAGCGATAAGTAAGTCGGTAATTCGTACTTCGCTGCCGGCCATAGTTTAATGTCAAATGTGGGCAGATAACGATGCGGTCGCTTTGAGCATTATAAAGTTAGAATCGTACTTGCATTATTAATTCACCTACTGCAATTCAGTGGTTTGGAATTTAATTAAGCTTAGGGTTCGAATCCCAATCAAAGTTTAAGTGATTTTTAGTTATAAATGTTTGAATATATAATAATACCACTGAAGGCTTCACAATTACAATAATCTTTTGGTGAAAGGAATATATTTTTCTACGTCTCTAATATTAAAACAACAAAAATTAGTTGGTAAATTGGCGAAATCCGACATTCGCGATAACGGCCGTTGGTCTATTTTGACCAGGGTCAATGAACACGGCGCGCGCTTGCTTGCTTGTAGTAAGACAATTTGCCAATTTACGTCCGGACATGCACACGTACGCCTGCCTCGTACCGTTATTAACACGTCGACCGCCGCACAAACGTCCGCCAAACGTATCCAAATATCGCATTGCTCACTCTACGTGTTAACATGCTTTGATAGACTCGCTTCTCTTTACACACGAGTAAATACATATTTGGTGAAAGGGATAAGTATGAACAAAAGTTTAATATGACAACATAGATGAAAACTAGGGTGCGGTATGAATAAATATTTATTGGTAGTTATAATTAAGATGTAATAAAGGATTGTCACTTAAAACACAAACGAAATATGTTAAGTTTTGAAGGTGAGGATTTGTAGTATAGTTTAAGACCTGGTATAATTCAGTGCAACGTTGCATAATATCTTTGCGACACATAATTCGTGCAAACTATAATGTTGAACTAATTCCATCTAACCTTGGTGTTCATTCGCCGCAATCCCTGTCGGCTTAGTCTTAGAAAATTAAATGCAATAAATTCTCGTGGTGCACCACACAACAGACCACGGGCCGTTGCTAAAGGTCGCAGTCGAGAAAGTCTGCAGTTGTGAATCGTTTGCCAGCTAGTTTGAACTGCTTTACATGTTCTTACGTAAAGTACCAACTTTTTTTTAGTTGTTAATTAAGCTATTTACTAATACATCATTAGGAGCCAATAATTAAAACAGGCCAACAAAATCTATGTTAAAAGGACTGCGAAACAGTAGAAATAAAGTATTGCCAATAGCTTTCTTTGTCAAAATGTTAATTCATTCTTGGAAGGTGATTTTAATTTCTGCTATGTGTAGATTTAACCTATGACGTCTTCTAATGGAAACGTACGTACATTTAAAGGCCATTTCACTTATTAGTAGGAGAGTTTATCTTATCTGTGTGCTTATATCGCCAGTGATAACGATTGTAATTTGCGTACATTAGTTTCGCGTCAAAATTAAACGGAAGCCATAGTGTATCGATTGGGTTAAGCGGTGGTTGAACCGCGTACCAACCGGTGATGGCCCTGTCTGTTTGTGTCGGAAAGCATGATGCCAATCGACGCCACAGTTGTATCTTATCCGCGATACCCGAATGTCCTGTCTGGGCTTCATAATTACATTTCCCTTCATCAAAACATACCAAATCATCGTAGTGGAAATCAAAATGACTTTAGAAAATACTTAAATTGCGTCAAAGGCTAATTGTGTTATTAATTTTATCACCTAACGGAAGACATCGAGTACGAGATTAGCGCAACAGCCGATGAAGAAAATGTAGCAATGTTTCCGTACATCATCAGTTGGCAGGTGATCATTGCACCGTGTAGTAATCATAGCAGCTTTTGTTAACGAGCACAGCGTCGTCATGGCAACGCATCTCACGCCTTATTAGATGGAGCGCTGCAGGCAATAGACGATGGGCAATGGTCGTGCATACGCTTGCACACAATGCATATTGATCGGCGAGACTTTTAGGTGCGGCAATGATGGCGACCTTACGTTGGACATCATCGATTTTTTATGGCGGGCGGTAGCGGCGCGTTTCACTTTCCATTCGTACTGAGATCGGTCCGCGGTGTGGTAGCGGCGCTCCGCGGCACCGAGTTGTAAGTGGCACTGTTGTTTGATGCACGTTATTCGATGCGAAGGAGCCGTCGGGCTCGTCGTCGGACGAGGGCGGCTTCCTGCGGGAGGGCGCAGAGGCGGAAGGGGACGCCGGACACACGCTGCCCGTGCGCAACTCACGCTCGGTACGATATCACCGCGCCCGCGCCCCGGCTACACCATACACAGCTCGTCACCACGTGCGGTGGGGTGTCCGCGGGGCGCGGGCAATGGAACCGCACCATCCACTTTATCACGCACCTTTACCATTACGTTGCCGCACCATGTTTGTGCACACGATCGGCTTGTTACGCTGTCTGTCTGTCGGCTTGCGTTCTCGTCACGCCCGCGACAATATCACGATTCGTCGTGCCGCCGCCTGGCGCAACCGGAACGCAATCCAATATCACCAGTCTTTTTGTTACGTAGCAGTAGCAATGTAAAGCACTTTTTGTTATTTTATTTGTTCTTATTTGCCTTTTTCTTATTTTTTACCAAACAAAAAAAGTTTATGTATAAATGTTCTACAATTTTATAGTTTGTTTATATCTATAGACATATGCAATGATATCATTAAGCATATGATTCAACTTGTTGCGCCGATAAGGTGCTGTCAATGTCGCGCATAACGGAATTATTGCAAAAACACAAGTTTGACCGCGCCGACTGTATTTTAATGAGAATGTAGTTGAAACTTGTTACTGGCAATAACTTAAGTGAATGCTTCTGTAATTACCAACGACCTCCAGCAATGCATCTTCATTTAACTAGAAAAGGGAAGCTGTTTTGCATCTCGAGGTAAAATAGCCATGTGGTTAGTTAGGGAGAAGACCTTCACGCAACAATGATTTCGGTAACATATGTCTTAATGTGCGTATGTTAATTTTGGTCTTTATTATAGATATGAGATAGATTAGACTTAGGACCTTCACAGTGGCCAACACCCTACTTTAGTAATCTAACACTCGGCGTTTGTGATAAGTATAAGATTTATTCCAGACACGACTATTGTTGTTTTATTAACATCCGCACAATTCTGGCTCGTTGTTTGTTTTGGTTTGAGCTATGATCGATCTCGGATGCGATATGACTCGGTTTACTAACGTTATGCCTTGCGTCTGTATGTTTATATACATTATGGGGAAGGTTCACACGTGCATTTCGCACGGCTATCGGAGCTGCGGTGTGGCGATGTGGCGTGCCCTCGCGCGGTAACATGCCTGTATCCGCGCATTCATACATCGCTATTGATTTCCTGTCGATCGCACGGTTTCTACAACAATGTGTTGTTGCACTGTTTCCATATGTTCTACAGTTAAACTGATCACGTTAGCGCAAGAGTAACTTTGGTTTATCAGTTTCTATTTGGTGAGTTGCGGTTAGACGCAATTTTTAACAATTAAGCATTATGCGATTTTCCTTACATTTCTTCTGAAACAAGTTGCAACGAGCCCCTCGATTATCCAGCTTCGCAATCTACTTCTGAACATTTAATAGCTCTCGATCTTATTTAACGTTGCGATTTAGAGCGAAATTGTTTGTATCCCGACGTAAATTTCTAGCCATTTATTTAATTCTCTCAAGAGGGTCCTGGAAGGCTGTCATTTATAGCTATGTTGATTTCTTCAGGGACAAAAAATAAATTGATGAATTATATAAAAATGCAGTTGACCTTGACACTTTAACTAAACCACAAGTGTCGGTTTAGTTATTTGTCGTAAAATGGATGATCTGAGGTAAATAATACTAAACAAAATTACATTTACGACGCATGTTGTAAACGAGCCACAAAGCTGTCTACATAACTTTAACTTTCATGGCTGGGTCGGCGAGTGCTAATCCATTTTGCACGGCCAGCGATGAACTTCAAGGAAATTACGTCACACCGCCTCGCCTGCCGACCTACTTTACACTTCTTATCTTACCCCATCACACCCCAGTGCATTCTGCCTTACCCCAAGACGTGATGATAAAATGTTTATGGGGTTCTTGTAAAAAAGGTATGCAGTCTTTGTAACCTTCAAGAATGGGTCTAGAAATCTTTGTTCACAATAATTTTAAAAACGCTAAACGATAGGGCGACAGCCAGTTTAGTGGGGTCATTTCTAAAATTTCTTTTTATGCCCATTTTACTTTGCGGGATCTAATGTCATTAAACCAAAGTATTCAACCATAATATTCGACATTGTATTGATTCCACGAATTGTAGGATTCTGACTACATTGTGAACATGTCTGGAACATCTTCATTGCAAAATAATACCACGAAGTTTATTAGTACATGGGTAATATTAATAATGATTTCGCGCATCGGGAATTCGTACTAGATTTTAGTAAATTGCTCCACATATGCGACCTCTTTTCTGCTGATTGGTTAGAATTAGTTCAGTTGCTGCAGACACCATGTAATTAATTATAATCTATTTCGTTACGCGTAATAAAGTATATTCCAACAGTCTCTTCGTTGTTTATGAAGATATCATAGTAAATACAGCACTGTGAAATTATAAATTACTTTCTAAAACTTTGTTAGAATTGGGATTGATTTTTCCTCATAAGGAATTCAGCTGTTAATCTTATTGATTGTAGCTGGTGTTAATTAGAAAAGTAAATATTTTTTTAATAACCTGCCATTATTTTTCTAATTTGGTCATCGGCATTAAAAAGTAAATATTTTTATAACCTGAAATTATTTTTCTAATTTGGTCATCGGCGTTAAAAAGTGCATATTTTTTTTATTACCTGCCAATGTTAGTCAGAATTTCTAAAACATTAATCAATCCCGCATAACTTCATTGTGTTACAGTTTTTTTAGCTTTTGTTTTCGCAAACCGTCGTTTCCCACGATGCGGGTGTTTGTAATCTGCCGGTCTGCTTATCTGTAATGCTACACAATTTCTTTGCTGTACAGTACTATATCCTATTATACTAGTATTTGTATATTTAACGTTTGATATTATATTTTCTAATATTTTTGGTTGCACTACTTTATTAGCTAATAAAATAGTATTCTGTTTCAGTTTCAAGTTCTCTTCTTTTGTGTTGGAATGTTTGGCTTCTTTTAACTATTTTCTAGTTTCAAATGATGATTTTTGTTAATCAATTCTTTTCCTGTTTTAGGATATGACGCGACAGTCAATTCCAGTTGCGACAAAAGGTATGTATTTGATATTAAACTTATTATAATGATTTGTATATTACATTCATATTTTTATCCAAGTCAACTGGACAAGAGGAAAAATTTAATATATTTCCATTGCTTCATCATCTGACAGTTTATATTTTTAAAATGTTAGAAAGTAATAAGATGTAAAGAAAACTGTAACAAATGTTCTTTTCGGTTCAAATTGTGATATTTCTAAGCCTCGCTATGATCCAAAATGAATACGCTTTGATTATGACAGTGAATGTAAATTACATGTAGTCTTAATAAAAAGGAACGCGTCGCTACAAGAGTAATAACATTTTATTAACATAGTGTGAAAATTATAGATGAAAAAATATCTACCATCTAATATGTTGATGACTATTGTGTCTTAAAAAAATCTATGACAAACAGAATAAGAATGTGGCTTCCGCCAAATAATGATGCTAGTATGTCTTTATATCCAGAGACGAAAGATTTATAAATATGTTTCCTTGTAATCTAAAATAATTGCAGTTGAAATCTTACATGATTTTGTAAAACCGAAGATTGCGATTTTGTTAAACTAAGAAGTCCGGGGTCGAAGCCCGCTGCACGCATGAAAGATTACGTTCCCACGAGCAAGTGTGTACATATATATTATGTTAAGCAATTTCTTATGTTAAATGTGTACGTAAAGGTCTCAATGTCGTACTCCTCTGAATCTCTTCCTCTCTCTGAGGACTCTTCCTCACCTCGTCACTTTGAGAGTTCTTACACTTGACACTTAGTGTCTCTCGTAGTGGTCACTTAATGACTCGAAGTAAAGTAATTAGCTCCATATCTAAACGTGTAAATTATGGTGACTCTTTGTGGCCAGTTTTTAATTTTGGTGCGTGACGTGTCCTCGAGGGCGGGTCTTGTCTTTGTTTAAAGGTTTGAAATGCGTCAGATCGTTATGACACATTCAAATTATTTTAGGTTTTGTTCCCCTTCTTATAAAGTTTTTCTGGTTTCCATTATAGATTTCATTCTTCTCGTGATCAAGGATCTAAAGATTAAGGGGATACGAAATTATTTCATTTAAAAATGTATAAACTAATTGCTAAAACTTACCGGTCAATGAACTTCATAAAAATAGAGCACACTAAATTCGCGACACAAACTCACATTGGGGCCAAATGAATTATTTGACGTTAAATTATGTTAACATTTTAAAGGTACGGATATTTCTTGTAATTTAATTACAACAAAATAGCTCATTGAAGAAACGCGAAAAAGTAGTTAATTTACATATTAACATCATCTATGCTAAATGAATTGTTCTGATGATTATTTAATTATTGTTTCCCAACATATAGATTGTAGACAGTTGTGATATATGTCAGGGTATCCCGAGCTTTGATTAGTTCCTGCCGCATGGCGACACCTCGATTCATTGGCAACGCCAACTGACCCATTTGGCTCAATTAACTCACGTCCATCTGTCAGCACTTGCCCTCGGCGATTTGGGAATTGCATTACCTCAGAAACTGTATAGATCTAACTGATATTATAAATGCGAATGTTTAGATGGATGGATGTTTGTTTCAAGGTATCTCCAGAACGGTTCAACGGATTTCGCTGAAATTTGGCAAAGATTTAGAACATAGTCTGGAAGACTTATTAAGTTCTTTTAATTCCGCGCGAGCATAGTCGTGTGCGATGTTGTAATAAAATCCGTTAAAAACAAGAAGAAATTGGCAAATTACCTCTACATTTTTAGACAATCCTATTTAAAATTTTAATTGCTAGAGGCAAAGTTATTATAGTAATTATACGGATTACTGGGTACTTTATGTATCATCAAAATTATTTAGAATCGTAACTGCCACTTGCCACATGGTGACATGTATATAGACACAATGGGGCAGAGGTTTGCCGTCCGCCGCATAATGCGATCTTGACATTGGCCGGGCAAGGCCGCGGCGTGCCCCTGCCCCGGCGATTGTACGCTTTGTCACTTTGTCTGTGCCCACTGTCCACTAATGGACCCGCTGACTCTATTCTGTAGTTTTATAATAGTATCTAAAGCAGATTTTTATTTTATAAAGTAATGAGATGAGGCTGACAGGCGTTTGTCTTTGCAAAATTTTATTTCATCGGGTCTGTGTATGGATTCGAACTTCTCACTTTGAAACTCCATTAATTAAAGTAGAAAATCCTTTATCGGGTTTGCTAAGTGTACGGATCAGGTTTCTTTCAAACTTCGTTAATTAAAATAGAAAATAAAAAGTAAGCAAATGAGGATTAGTGTTTTAATAACTTCCCAGTGCTCGTCGTCATTAGAGTTGGCTTCGCTCTGGTGCGTAAGGTCAGGTTGTATACGTAGCTACGAATTGTTCCATACGAAATAATCTTAAATTTTTTTACTTTATCATTTTTTTTATTTAATCAAGAATCCGCTAATACATTTCGGGACAACACGATCGATCTTTTGTGGACATCAATCATCACACAAACATGGGTATGGGATACTCCTATTTGAAAGCCTAATTAGACAAAGATTATAATTTACTAGCTTTTGCCTGCGACTTAGTCCGCGCAAAATTTAAAAAAGGCGTTACTTGAGACTATGTTCTATATCTGATCTATTTCAATAACATGTTTTGAGCAGTTGCGAAGTTACCCAGTAAATATTAGAATCAAACGTATCCTACTACGCCCGATCATATTCATCCATCCAAAACGTCGTATCTATATGTAAAAAGTGATTATAATTTGTTGACAACAAAACTATAATACTGTAAAATGTATGTTATGTATTTATCATTCTTGTCAACAACGTTCTAAAAGTTAATTCTATCAAAGACCAGCTACAACTTGGTATCATTATCAATGATGAACCGCGAAGTGCTAGTTGTTTGCTTGGGAATTTGCACAATTTGCAGTCCGTTATCGCGGCGTTGCGCCTGACGCCTCCCCGCCGATTCATTATCGCCACCCACCTCGGACAACACGACCACGTGAACGTTCAAGATGCATTGAACTTTCGCTATGTTGTTATAATATAATGTTTGTATTTATTTCAATCATTATATTTTGTGTTTTCTTTATATCACGGAATTAAAACAAATATTAGTGTGTTCTTCCAGACTATGTTCTACATCTATGTCAAATTTCAGCGAGATCAATATAGCCGTTTAACAGATACCTTCTAATGGCCATCCATACATCCAGAAATTCGCATTCATAATATTACTAAGATTTTTTCAGATTATGGTAAATAACAAAGTGTCTTTATCCACTATCATCATCAGTTTCAAATTACACGTTTAATATTCAAGTTTCTATATATGCTTAGTTCACGGCCTTAAACCTGTAAAGTTGTAACACTTGTGTAGTTGTTAGTCGCAGTCGACCATAATGAGATATAAATATTGGTGTCGTGCTATGCCTATATTATACCGACGTAGCCAGGGTGTTCGTGTATTACATCATTATTAAGTCACAAGTTCATTAGGCGCTAGTTTGCCCGTCAACCTTATAGCCTCTTACGAGTACTAAATTCTTCTAAATTTAGTTGATATACACATTAAATTACTTCATTGTCATTTTTAAACGAATAAAAACCTTTAGAATGTCAGGATTAAAAACCTCAAAGATTTTGAGCGACCCAAATTACAAAGAAATTAAAACGGCAGTTCTTAGCTTAAAAATATCAGATTAAAAATTTGTTTCCGTATAGACACGTCATATAGCACATATTATGTGAAAAGCCTATATATAGATTGCCCTTTGCCATTTCTGTTTGCACCACGACCCGCCGGATAACACGGTCTTCATTTCGTGTTCCGTGTATTCCCTCGCGTATACGTTATAGCATTTTCTCTGTTAATAATTAAAAGCGATGGCATGACGGAGCATTTTGGGGGAAGTTACCACGGCGGTCATTCGCTGCCACCCTGCCATTTTTCCATGCTGCTATGCTGCTAGGCTGGCACAAAGGTGGTAACATCGCGTATAAGTGCCGGCGGACGGGGCGCGCGCGGACAGTGATCGGACGGCCGCGCACCACACCGCCGCCTGGCACCGCCGCCCCGAATCGCAAATGGAACACACGGAATAGTGCGGTGGTTATACCGTAGATTACCTTGCTTCCTTTTGTTAATTTTTTACGATTCGATATCATGCCTGTGTTATACGAGAGATGCATTCAAAAGCATTTGCAACGGCACGCGACAAGCGCTAGTAAGTGCATCCCCTTTCCCCTCTTGTATATCAATTTGGACCCTATCTTGTTGGTGTTTGGTTCGTTTTTCGTGTGTCACTTCCTTCCAGGGCTTCCCGCTAAAGTGCCGCATATTGACTCCGCAGGCTGGAAATTGTAATTTCGATATGTCGAAATGCCGTCGCGACTGGAAAGGTCTTTATTCCTTAAAAGCAACTAGATTGCCTTGCAGTTGAACAATACGCTTCGAGTTTCGCGTTATCCAAATTTGGTCTTGCACACAATATTCTTACCCTTTATTTCGAATGATTATTTCATGTAAATGTACTTTTTTTTGCGACACATCAAGAGGTTTCTTTGACTGCAAAGACTCTTAATTTAGTGGTAAACAGTACAACGCACCGTTTGAATCAAAGGCGTGTGGGCGCCGGCGAATGACCGTCTTGCTTGCCACACGGAACTGTTTACATAAAACAAATAATTGAGTGCAAAATATTAATGGGGCGAATATCTCTGTCGTTTGTTATTCATCATCATCAGCTCACTATACGTCTCCGCTAAGGGGCACGGAGCCTGCACTTAGGGGTGAGTAGGCTATATCAACCATCTATATCAACCATCAGCTATGTCAACCACGCTGACCCAGTGTGGGAATGTTGACTCCACACATATCTTTGAATTTTTTCGCACAAATGTGCAGGTTGCATCATATTTAAATTGTACATATGTAAATCGAACATTGAAAAACACATTGGTATATGGCGGGATTCGAGGCCAGGACCTAAAGGTTGCAAGTCAAGTGCTTGACCACTGAGCCACCGACGCGTTTGTCACTGACTCCTGTATAATTTTTGATATATTTCTATGATAAGGAAATTTGGTTATTTGTTAGACACAGAACTGCTGTATGCTGTATACGAGATTATGAGTGAGAACTTTGGGAAATACAACATATTTATGTCAAATGTACTCGACATTGTGCTGCTACCAGTATAACTATAATATAGAGATAGATTTTGTTCACTAATCTTGATGTATTTACGTAGCTTGCGTCATATTGCAGCTCGACATCGACACATGTTGAATTTTATCATTTCGATTAGATAATATATTTTTTGTTTATGTACTTGAAACAAATTATAGTTACGGAAAGAAATATTGATGGTGTTTTCAAAAACTCGAAACAATAAAGCCTTCAAATCTGCTGTTATAATTCGCTATGAAACTTGATACTCCAAAGACTCAATTAATCAAATATTGTATAATGAAAATTGATTTCGAACTGAATCTTCTATACCTCTGATATCCCTTACAATCAATGGTCGTGATAGTATATATTTTTAAAGTAGTAATCCATAATGCACGAAGCCGAATTATCTCTGTCCGCACAGGTCGTGAGAGCGTTGCACAGGCCGATGAGAACGATTCGTCCGTCTTCTACGATTACTTTGGTTTCTATTGTTATCATGGAGTCCGTGTCCGTGTCCAGTTTCAAATATTTACTAAAGTAAAAAAAAAAACATTTTTATATCTTATCTGCTTATCGTACATATCAATCTTATCAATTTTTAAGTTAAAAAAAAAACATTAATTTTTAATTTAATAAGATTTTTTCCTGTAATTTTAATATGTTAGCTTTTATAATAATCTCTCCTCTGAAATCTCTATGAATTTGTTGTGATAGCAACAAGATGTTGTACATTTGTTTCGGTAGTTGAAACTCTTGGTAAGGGGTTGATATGTGTGAGCAATATGAGTCATGTCGCCGAGTTATTCAACGTAAAAAGTCATCAAGATGTCTATCACTGCAGCTTTGTTCTGACATGACTGAATGCACCAATGTTTCAAGGTCTTCAAACAATTTTGTCGAACAATTATACTTTGAACTGTTACACTATA